ATGAGTAAAAGATTGTATAAGCGTAATAATTCATCTGTAAACCTAAAAATGTACAGCCAATTTTGAAAGACATTAAAGGCACAATAGATAAATGTTATTGAATAGGTTAATGCTGTTGTAATGAAATGCTTCTTTTAATTAAAATAAAAAAAAAGTATCACTCTCCAGAATATATAAGATTAGTTAAAATGTATCACCAAAGGGGCTGGAAAAATGGCTTAGTGGTTAAGAGCATGTAGTGCTCTTATAGAGGACTAGAGTTTGGTTCCCAGCACCCGTGTCAGGTTGCTTACCTGTTGTACACACACGTCACATAATTAAAAATGAAACAAGTCTTTGGGGAAAAAAATACCACCAAAATTAGTTGCCTTTTCCCTTCTCTAACCCATTAGAAAAAGTACCCAAAAGAAGTACCTTTGTGGCTTATCTGCTATACCCACGGGGCAACCCTCACACACTTTCCATCTTGTACCTTTTTCATGAAATTAAAGACTATGTTTGTAGGCCTTGACCTTAGAGCAGTGATAGGATACACAGGGACTCTCCTTAAGGCTTTTAAATAAGTCAACTTGAGATACCTGGAGCCTACTTTACCTGGGAGTTTTTTGTCTTGTTTATGTAGCTCAGGCTAACCCGGAACTGTAATCGTCCTGTCTCAGCTTTCTAAGTACTTGTGTTGGAGTTACAGGTGTCAGCCATCACGCCAGATTTTTTTAAAACTTTGCCACACTGAACATTCTTTTTTTAAAAATTTACTTTTTATTGAATTTTTGTGATTTTCATATGATATAGTTTGAAGCTTTTTTATTTCCTCCCCTATCTGCACTTCCTCACACTGCCCCCAGCCAAATTTAATGCACTTTCAACTTTTTTGCTGGTTGCTTGAAGGGGGAGAGATAGTGTCTTACAGGGATAGAACTCTTTCATGGTGGGCCCAGTGGATGGACCACACTGAAAGACAATAGGGACACAAATCAGATTCTCTCTCTTTCTCTCTCTCTTTCTCTCCATATATATATATTAAAAAATTTAAACAACAGCTGGAGAAATAGCTCAGCAAATAAAACAATTTGCTGCTCTTGCAGAGGATCTAAGTTTTGTTACCAAACACCCATGTCCGGTAGCCCACAACTCCTGCTCTAGGGGATCTGGCACCCTCTTATGGCCTCAGTAGGCACCTGCATGCACATGCACCCCCCCATATATATATATATATATATCAGTCTTGGTGCCGCATACCTTTACTTCCAGCACTGAGCAAGCAGAGGCTGATGGATCTCTGTCAGTTTAAAACTAGCCAGGGCTGCATAGTGAGACCCTGTCTCAAAAAATAAATAAAAGGTGAAAAATAATAAAACTAAGTCTATTAAAATGATAAAAAGGCATCAACATTTTTTACAAATTTATTTTTATTTATTTAATTATGTTTGTTGCTGCTAGGATTACCATGTGCAGCTTTCCATCCACTATGCACAGTTAAAGAAGTTTTTTTTTTTTTAATCAGAATTGCAGTTTACTAGAAAAGACATGTTTAACATAGATTTTAAGCACAGGTGGTAATAGAAAATTAGAGTCATGGAATAAACAAGACACACCCAAGTATACATATGGGTTTCTCTATGGCGAATCACCTAAACAAGCTTTTCTAATGTTATTGTTATCTGGGTTTTATTTGTGTTTTTTAAATTAAATGGAGAAATAATAAAATGATGTTGCAAAAACAGAGCACAGTACTCTCCAATAGAATTTATTCAGATGATGCAAACTTTCAGCAGGGTAAATAGTAGGCACGCGTCATTACAAAATATCAACGAATTAAATTGATGTCTAAATACATGGGGCTAGTGCATATATTTGCTTCTTTTTATCTTTGTAGTTTCATATTGTAGTTTTTTATTTTTCTTTTAGTGGCTATATTTCATACATGGAATTCTACTCCAAGTTATGTTAAAATGTTCCTCCTCCTTCCAAAAGTAAGAAGAAGCCAAGTGTGGTGGTGTACAGCCGTAACAGCACTCAAGAGGTAGAGAGAGAGAGAGAGAAGGATAAGGAGTTCAAGGCTAGCCTCAACTACACAGCAAGTCTGAAGCTGGCCTGGGCTACATAAGACCCTGTTTCAAAATACAAAAACAAATGTAGGAATGACCTTTAAGAACAGGTCATTAAATGACCTTTAAGAAGAGTGAAGTAATAACAAATCTGTACCATTTCTACTCTTAATCATATTCTTTACATATTTTATGAAATACAGAATTAATTATCAAATTTATTTTCCTATGATTTAAGATCATATTATTTTATTTCGAGACAGGGTCTTACTATGTAGCACTGGCTGGCCTGGAACTGGCTGTGTAGACCAGGCTTAGCCTTGATTTTACAGAGATCTGTCTGCCTCTACCCATGTGCCACCATGTCCTACCTATGTGTAATTTTTTAAATGTAATAATTAGGTTAAATGGCACTCTTTAAAATTTTTTTTTGATTTATTTATTTTTATTTTTGTGTGTCTGAGTGTATTGCCTATGTGTGTGTGTCATGTCACGAAGGGCCCAAGGAGGACAGAAGAGGGTGTCGGGTCCCTTGGAACTGGAGTTACAGACAGTTGTTAACCACCATTAGGGTACTGGGATTTGAACCTGGGTCTTCTGCAAGAACAGCCAGTGTTCTTAACCACTGAGCCATCACTCCAGCGCCCTGAATGGCACTCTTAAGTGAAACTGATTTTATTTTCATCTCCGGTAACTGGCATGTTAATAACCTATTAAGTCCCCAAGAGTTACCAACTAGTCTTGAGAAAACAGTAAACAGCAGTTTGAACAGAGAGCCAGTGATTATTTTGCAGAGAGGGAAGGTTAAAATACTGTTCTGAAATGTTTTCTAACCCTGCCACCACCACCTACTTTCTTTATTCCTTACTCTGCTCTACCTAACCTTAAAATGGCCTCATCTGAAGCTGGGTATGATGGTGCATACCTGTCTCCTGTGAGGGACTAAGACAGGAGAATCAGCGGTTCAAGGCCAGCCTGAGTTGCATGAGACTCTGTCCAAAACAAACACACAAACAGACAACAAATAAAATGGTTCGATTTGAGCATCTTAGACCGCCACTGAACCCACAATGATGATGAACAGCTGTGATACTGAAAGGAACTGCCAGAACTGAATTTCTAACCCAGGACAACCTAGAGTTTTTCTTGTCAGCAGTGTACACTGGCCTTCTGTTGGGTTACGAGGCTGCCAGAAACAATGAGTGTTAAAGTCTTTACAGCAAAGCAGGGGAGAGACCTGCTAGCAGAAGAGGAAATATGCTCAGTGAGGCAGCAAAGACCACAATATTATCCTGCGTGAAAACAGGTCGTTGGGATAGTGTAACATGCCAAGAGTCAGATCAGTTGGAAACTGCCCGGTTTTTCCCACCAACTTAGAAACAAGTACATGTCTTTTTATACGGGAGATTAATCCTCGGGTCACTACTGTTAGTGGCAAACTGTCTGAAAGACACAAGCAGATAGGATTTTGAAGGTTTAACTTTCAACTTTCTGCTCAAAAATAAAAGAGGAAAATTTTAGCAGCTAGATTATTATGACTAATTTTTTCCATTTTAGGCTTTAGACCACAAAGCACCAGAGTTCACAATAAACCAGTCTGAATAGGATGTGGACATGCTTGTAGGAAGCCACACCCAACAACCAGAAATTTCTTATGACTCAGACCAGTTTAGTAAGAAAACACCCAATGTTTAAGGCACATAAAGAAATTTACAATTAAAGTATATTCATGGAGCAGTTTCAGAATCTTGGATTTAAGCTTGATTAGTGTTCCTCATTTACTACCCATCTTTCAATTATATACATATGTGTCAGAGAGTGAAAATCAAAAACATGGAGAAACCTAAATCCGAGTGCAGACCACCATTCAAAAAGTCTGTGTGACTTTTTTTCACATAACAGAAAAAATGAAACTTTAATGCTGTAGTTGGACACTTCATCTTTCCATAAACTCCAACTCATCATTCCACAAATGCACACACTCTCCTTTCTCATTATCTTAATAGTTTTTAACCAGGAGGCAGTTTTGTTCACCAGGACTTGTTTGAGACAAGGTCTTACTATGTAGCTTTGGCTGGACTGGAATCTACTGTGTAGAGCAGGCTGGCCTTGAACTCACAAAATCTGCCTGCTTCTGCCTCCCAAGTGCTGGGATTAAAAGCATGTACTACTATACCCGACTATTTTTGGTTCTTTATAACTGGAGGATGGAGGTGTGACTGGCGTCTAGTAGGTAAAGGCCTGGGATGGTGTTAAATATCTTAGGTCTTCAGCATAGCCCCCACAGCACAGAATGATCCACCCCCTAACATCGACATCAAGGTGGAGAATCCCTGCCATATCATGCCATGGACATAACTTGTGTCTCCAAGGGAGGGAGAGGAGGTTGCAGGAACACCACCTGTTGCCTCACTTGATCTTCCACATTTACAGCAGCTTGCAAGCTCCTTGATTAGAATTAACTCTGGGATTTGTAACTCAGGACAGAATATTTCAGTGCGTGCAGACACTGACCTGCTTACAAACATTAATATGCAACTTCTACAAACAGAAAGTTCCCCGAGACAGTCTGCAGTCTGTGGAGCAACCTTAACCAAAAGACAATTGCCAACAAAAACCAGTAAAGATATCAGATTCCAGGATGTTTGATCACATTTGTTTTTCAGTACTGGGGATTGAATTTAGGGTCTCAGGCATGCCATACCTACCCCCCCAACACACACCCAGATTTCAAGATATTTGAATGTTTTCGTATCCCTCGTCCAGTTTCAGCAAACCACCATTTTAGCATGCTAAAACTGGTCAAGAAAGGACCTTACACATTTTCTATATTTATGGTCATGCTCACAGTTCTTATGCTATATAAACCCACACAGGAATGACAATGGCCCTGAATCCACACATGATTAGCAATCAGCTTGTTAACTCTCTTTAGGGATGCGGAGTACTCACAGGCTCGATTTCCGGTTCTGTAAGTGCAGGTATAGAGACTGCAGGGCCTCACTGGCATGGACCTTGGAAGCTGCAACCTTCTCCACAGCGATTTGCAAGGAGATGCTTGAAGAATCACTCTCAGGTGATTCATCACCAACATCTTTTGCTTGAGATTTCGAGCAGTTGCTAAATGCTTCACAGGAGTCTAAAAACTTGGAGGATGAGAGAGGAAGAAAAGCTACATACAACAGATATTGAAAAACATGAAGAATCCTCTAAGAGGGCAACACTCAGGATTGGTGATTCACACCCTGAGCTGGGGGAAGGGCAAACGAAAGTCAATAGTTTATTCACTCTTGTTTTTCAAACTGAGTCCCTCCTGGCAGGCAGGGTTCAGAGGGCTGACTCATGCACACCCTTGCTTGGCCATTCCCTCAGGGTTGGCAAATATCAGAGACGTAGAGAAAAGATTGGTCTTCAAACACATGAATAAACAGACTGTTTATAGCACCGTTCCTTAAAATTAAAAGCAAATTTACTCCCCAGAATCCCACTTAATTATCTATCATGATATTTACTTGTAGGAAGAATCCAACAAGATTAAAACTCCTTTCAGGCTAGAATTAAAAAAAAAATCATTTGCTTCTGGCTTGCTTAAAAAAACCCAGATATATCCTGCCAAAATAGTTATGGGTGGTTTTGAAATCTAAGCTTAAATATAATCTGTGACTCTTTGCTAGTTTTTAGTGCAACACAATGTCCCTGGAACATAGGGAAAATGGACACTTTTAACTCTTGAACTCTACCACTCACATGTTCACAGTGAAAGTTCCAGAAGTGAATGTTTTCCAAGGCACTCACTACGGAGTTCTCAAATCACTTAACATTAACTTTGGACATTCTTTTCTAGAAGCCTCTCATCCCTGCTCCAATATTGCTTCATCAACTTTTCCTGAAAACTCCCGTCCCTGTAACAAGTGACTAAACAAGTTATGGATTTTTTTCAAGTCTTGCTTTTTAAACTTCACATTCATTCCTGGGACTGATCTTCCATCTGGCTAATTCCTGCTTACCTTTTTTTCTGTACATTTTTCTGTATTTCATACAGAACATCTTAATCAACTTTATACCCCCTTCCCCATTTACACCCTCCCCATCGCCCCCCCGCACTGGATTTCATGCATTATCATTTGTGTTATGGCCTATCGAGTCAAGTTAGTGTCCCCAGATGTCCTTCAGTGCAAGTTCATCCACTGAGGTCTAGTCAGTCTATCTACAGTCCCTCCCTTTAAGAAGATCTGCTCTTCCTCACCCAACACTAATCAGCCTTCAACAGTTCTTCGGCTAAGATCAGGGCCTGCTGCCCATTTCCACAGTTCTGTGCTGGGTTTTTGTCTGCTTGAGTTTGCATGGGTCTTTGTTTGCTTGAGTTTGCATGGGTCTTGTGCATGCTGACACCATTGCTGTAGGTTCATATCAGCAAGGTCCCAGAAGCCTGTAAGACTCTATTTCCATATTTGTATGATTGATTTCAAAGCCACTTCCTTAAATGTTCCCCTGACTATATGCTCACTGGGTTAGCCTAACAGCCTCTTCTTGAACAGTTAAATTAAATATCTGATCAGGAATGTAGTTTACAACTCCATCCTACCCAGAACCTAAGCCCCATGGTGACAGGAACCGTGTCTGTCTCTGTTATAGCTGCATCTCTTAGGGCAGGTGCCTTATAGAACATGGGTTTGAGGAGTTCCAGTTGAGTAACTTGAGCAGGTTTCATTGGAGATATTAGTCCTAATTTCAATGCTTATTATCATTTTCTTTGTTCTGGATACTGTGTTGGATACTGTGATTCTAAAAAGGGACAAAAGTCATAAGAAAGAGCTGGACTTGGTGGCTCATGCCTTTAATCCCAGCACTTGGGAGGCAGAGGCAGGTGGATCTCTGAGTTTGAGGCCAGCCTGGTCTACATAGCAAGTTCCAGTTCAACTGGGCTACAGGGAGACCCTGTCTCAAAAAAAGACAGAAAAAAATGGAAAGAAAGGAATAAAAAAAGAAAGAGAGGCTGTCAAGATGGCTCAGTGGGTAAAGGCACCTGCCACACAAGTCTAGCTAGTCACCTGGATTCAATCCGCAGATCCCATGGTAGAAAAACAGAACCAACTCCCTCAAAATTGTAGTCATTTCTTCTGACCTCCGCTTGTGCACAGTCGCACAAGTGGATATACCCACGCATACATGTGTGCACATACACACAATAATAATAAATAAAATTTAAAAACTTTCTCAGCATGTGTGATTACCAAAAACAAAACCAATCTAATGTCATCAACATGTCCCAGCTAAGACAAAGTGGGGGAGTTTGTCATCTATTGTAAAGTAACATGCATTGTCTTGGAAAAAAAACAAGCCTGTGTAGTACTTAAAATAGGGAAATATAGAGACAGAAGGCAGACTGGTGGTTGCCAGGGGGTGAGTGAAAGGGGAATCAGGGAGTGGCTATGTAGTGGGCAGGGGGATTTTATTTGAGGGGATGAAAATACTTTGGCCCAAAATAGAGCTGACAGTTATACAACATTGAAGATTGTATATGCCCCTGAGTTTTTCACTCAAAGAAGTTATTTTTATTTCATGTGAACTTTTACCCTAACAAAATTTGTGTTTTACAAAACGGTGAACTAGGAAAAGATGGAGCAAACCAATTTACAGCGGGGTGTTCACCACTCCATAGACTCTGCCTTCTGTCTAAAAGAAAGGTCGTAGCAGTTTGGCCTTGAGTGTAGAGCAAAGGCACAAAAAAGAAAGTCGGGCAACACTATAGATATATTTCACTACAGAGCTGAACTTTTCTTCCCAATCAGAGTATAAAAAAGTGAAACAAAGAAGCAAACAATCCTCCTCAGTGCCTGAGCAGAGGCAAATACTGAGATCGCATCTTCCTTTCTCTATTCAAGCACGCTGCTACAATGAAACAGTCAGGAGCTGGCCGTTTTCTTCTGAGCTGCTATCATTGATCCTGCTCCCGTTTGAACTAGAGGGAAGAGGAAGGCTACATCCAAGTGAAATGAGGGAAAAGTCACATCCCACTGTGGTGTCCAATGAAGACAGGAAGCATAGTTACTCCTATCACTACTCTCTAAGGAACAATTGAGGACTCCAGGCAGAACTTAACTATAGCAACTCCATCTCCCCAGATGAGGGTTACATTGGTTTTTCACCCAGTCCCATGTCCTCCATGTACATCACTTTGCCACATGTACATCCTGAAATCAAGAGAGGAGGTGAAGTGCATCCATCACATGAGAGAAGAGACTTGGGAAGAAGTTTGTGAAGGCCAAGGAGTTACGCCTCTCAGCCTGTCTACCTGGGGTGTTTAGATAAGTGACTTCTGAACTATGTCTGTATTGGAAATTGTCAAAGCAAAGTTAAAATCAGCTTTTTTATAGTTTTGTGTGTGTTTGTGTATACACATGTTTGAAACATGTATGGCCAAACCAACCTTATTTAAGACATACAAAAGTTTGACTCAGGATTTCAAACATACTCTGGAAGAAAGTTTTAAAAGATTATCTGGATAAGGGGTGGGGAGATGGCTCAGTTTGTAAAGTGCTGCTTGTTGTGCAAGGAGGAAGACCTGACTTTAGATTCCCAGTATCGATGTAAAAAGCCAGGTATGGCAGAGCACTCCTGTAATCCCAGCATTGGGGTGGCAGAGACAGGAGGATCCCTGGAGGTTGCTGACCAGCCAGTCTAGCCAATTGGTGAGCTCCAGGTTCAGTGACAGATGCTGCCTCAAAAAATAAAGTGGTAAGTGACTGAGAAAGATACTAAAAGTCAACATCTGGCTTCCACATGCCTCCACACACACATGCACAAACAGAAACACATGTAAACAAAGATTAGCTTGATACGAGACAATAACACCTTGTTTTCAAATGTCTTCTTTAACTGAATTAACAGAGCAGTATTGAAGAACAACAGATCACTGGCCACCCCATCCATCATCTGATTCTTTCTTTTTCTTTTTTATTATGAACAACTTCAAACTTATACTGTAGACCGTCTATGTTTGCACCTGTAGATTCAGCCAACCATGAATCAAAACTTTTTATTTTTTGAGACAGGGTCTCACTATGTAGCCTTGGCTGGTCTGGAACTCACTATATAGAACAGGCTGGCCTTAAACTCACAAAGGCCCTCCTGCCTCTACCTCCTGAGTGCTGGAATTAAAGGCCTGGATAAAAAATATTTTTTAAAAGAATTACAATATTGTATAACTGTATTAATTCAACTGTGAACCTAAAAATTTACAGCCACTTTTGAAAGAGATGTATCTTTACTCTGGAAATTGTTATTGAATATGTTAAAACTGCAATGAAATACTTCTAATCATGTGGTTATTAAATAAAAAAGAAAAAAAGAATTACATCTGTCGTTCTATGTATTTTCAGTTTGAATAATTTTTTTATTTAAAATTGTTTTTGCTGATGTGGTGGTACAAACTAGTAATCACACACTTGAGAGGCTGAGGTAGGAAGATTGTAAATTTGAGGTCAGTCTGGGCAACATAGTGAGACCGTCTAAAAAAGGCACGGAAATAAATAAATGAAAGTTATTTAACATACATAGAAGGCATAAAATTGGACACACATATATGACTGTTTCATTTTATATAAAAGACACAAGTATCTTTCAATTTTGGTATCTGAATAGATCATAAAAATCAATCTCCATGGATTTCAAGGGATGACTGTATAGGAGCAAATACTATATCAAAACCAGCTATGTATCCAACATTCTTTTTCTTACTATGTTTTTCTTTATACTTCTCCATTTCCCCTCGGGTTATTCTAAAATAAATCTTAGAGATTATATTAACTGGTCCGTGACTATATCTTTATAAGAAAATATCTTCCTAACTCATAGTTTAATCCCTATAAAAATGATCTGTATGGAATAGCCTCTGATGGTGTTTATTACAGAACATGAAAACTATCAAAATGTAAAAAAAGAGCAAAAACACAGTAATCCTACAGATCTTCTTAGTATCAATTTAACCCTTAATGTAAACATATTAATCTGGATGAGAGCTCAGAATAAGAACTTCATATTCCAAGGCTGGAGAAATGGCTTAGCTGTTAAGAGTTCTTTCTGCTCTTGCAAAGGACCTGTGTTCAGTTCCTACCACCCACATCAGGAAGCTCACAAGCACCTGTAACTCCAGTTCCAGGGGATTCAACGTCCTCTTGTAGCCTCCATAGGTTCTCTCTCTCTCTCTCTCTCTCTCTCTCTCTCTCTCTCTCTCTCATAAATCTTTAAA